GATCGTCTCGATTATCGAGTCGCAACGATTGCAACTGCTAAAGCACGCTGTGACGAGAGGTGAAGACCATTCGATGGAAATGAGCTGGATTTTTCAGGCAGCGTTCACAGTATTCTTCGCAGAGAAACTTTCTGGGAGCAATAGGTCGAAAGCTTCTGATGAGATTTTGTTTTAACCCTCCTACAGCGAATGCAGGGTCCTTTGGACCCATCTGTAGCTATTGTCGTATTCTTTGTAGTTATATGTAACTGTAACTTATAGACTTGAAAATATACATACAATTTTATGTACAGTTTCTTCTTGAAACCTGTGTAGAATAGAAATTTGACCCCCACAATAAAATGTTATTTAACCCCTGCAATATTTTCAATACAAGTTACTCATTTTATTTGCATATAATATTTCATTCTACCACTTTAACGTGTTAATTATCTTAATGGATAAATGTCACACTAGAATATCAAGTCTTACTCCACGAAGAGCGCCACCACGAAAAACCAACAGTGAAAAATATCATCGAGAACCCCGCACACCTGAGACTACACGTCGAGTAACGTCCACAGTTCGAAGGTAAATCTTAATTACCACGGCTCCTGGCAGACAATTAATTCGTTACAGCACGACCGATCGATATAATTGATAGATGACCGGGCGTATATCGAATATCAAATCGATCGTTCGCGCGATCATCGTTTCATTTATCACACGGACGGATCCACGGGTGAACTTTCTCACGATAAAAAACGATCGGCGTTAGAGGTTCGCCGGGGCGGAGAGGATCGATTTCGACGACAGGCACCGATCGATATCGAGAAATCGGAGGATTATCGGTACAAGGAGGATCATCGTCGGCCGCCGGGAGAGAAAGGGAGAGAGAGGTAGAGAGAGAAGGGCCTGGAGGAAAGAGAGGGACGGTCATTAGGTTTATTTGCCGTAATTGGGGGAGCTTTAACGCGCCAAACCAAACACCGGTTATGGCCGCCATAAACCTACCCACAATCACTTAGAGCTGGCGCGCGGGTACGCGCTTTTTCCCCTATTTATTCCGCGCGACCTGTGCTCTCTGCCCCTTCCCTCCCCGATTATACGAGGACAAGCACGACGAAAAGGACGAAAAGGCTAAAACCGGACAGAGCTGCCGGCAATTTGCTACCACCGTCTGCTTCTGGTCACCCATTGTTTCTTGCGCGGTGTTCTTGCAGACCCGACCGTCGCTGAAACTCGGTTTTTCAACAAATCCTGTCGAGACGAAACGTTTCTTCGGCTAGCTAGCAACTTAACTGTACTGACTAATTGGAGGTAATATTCTCTTGTGTGAATCGTAAGTCATTCAGCAAAATATGTTAAACATGCTCCTTTCGTATGTCCATCTTTAAAATTTTTGCAAAGATTTTAAAACAAAGCCAGTCTTCAAACTTTTTGGTTAAAGTGTACGGTTAAATACTAGCTATCAAAGACCATGTGCTTTCAAGATTCGAACCAAAATTAGATGCATTTCGTAATCTCTGACAATTATCGACAAAAACCGAGCGAACTTTTCAACCAACCCAACAGAATTCACAAAAGAAACATGAAAATTCTATTAAAATCGAACGCCAACGCTCCTTGCAATAACTAAATGACACTATTTAATTTTCAGAAAAATCCCAAAAATAATATTTCAGAAGACCCATCAAGAAAACTTGACTGCAATTCAGCTACTTCTGAAGTATCCTCCAGAATCTTCTCACAAGAACATTGATTTATTCCCAACTATATCAAGGAAACGCCCCTAAGTTCATAAAAGTTGTTCGTACCCATTAAATTTCAAACACCTAACGGTTCCAAGTGCGTAAATCAACGCGAAATACTGTTCGAAATGAATCTGGTTACCGATGTGCCCACAAAGAATGTTTTTTTACCAGACTCGAAACTTGCAAGAACGTTGCGTTATTCATTGCAGTTAAATTTGTCGGTGAGCCCGGCTAATTGGTCAGCGGTACCGTCGCTTTACGGTCGCGAGGAAGAAGCCTATTCTCTCTCGTCCGACGCGAGATTCATGCTCGCAAAACACGGCGTTAACGAGCGCGGCCCGGCGCAAGTCGCCGACGGATCCCTCTACTCCCGCTTTTTGGTGACATCGACGCATGGAGAAGCGAGCTCTCTAGGGCCAGTTCGCGCCATCGCGAGAAAACACGCCACGACGACTTACAGTGGGCCAGATCGAAGAATTAGCTGTTCACAACTGTTAGACGTCAGCTTTTAATATTATTAAGTAAAAAATATAATCAAGGTGACCTTATGTTTTAAGAGAAAAAAATTTTTTTTTAACTTTTATATTGGAATTTGTAGAACAGAAAGTGCTGATTAATCTTTGTTGGAAACATTTTCTTGTCAGAGCATCGAAAATGCCTGAAAAATCGTGATGACATGTAAATTATGAATTATAATTGAAAACTAGTGACAGTTATAACATTTTAAACATAGTTGCCATTTCATTTCAAAATCATATCATTCTTACTGGAAAACCCTTTATAAACAAAAGGAGGCGATAACCATTTAGGTTAGTAACCACAATATCTGGTCTTAGCATGCGAACGTTTTCGTTAATTTTACTGACTTGTCCCGCTGGAGGGATCACAGTGTTGTTCGTATACTTCTACAGTACCTACTGATCGTTCGCGAAAACGATAATCGAAGCGATCGTCCTTTCCGCGAACGTTCACGATTTCCTTTCTTGCGACGACCTTTATTCCTCGTGGAAACGACAAATCTTGAGATAATATTTGAACGAGTGAAACCCAACGCAGCGGGACGATAGATTCGGCGCCGGTTCAACGTTCATCCGTAGATCCCCGTGTGTATCGATAAAAGGAGGGCCCCGTTGGGTTTTTTTTGGCGAAACGCGAGTAAACACGCGTGTAAGGGAAAGCCGCCACCGATCCCTTCCCCACCCGGGGATGGTTTACGAGCGGAAACCAGCGGCGCCGCGCAGCCCTTTTGTTCGTCGCGCGTCTCACGTAACGTGGGACTTACAAATTGGAATACAACGGGCCCGGAGTTAGGAGAATCGTTTCACGCTTCGCGGAGGCGCCAAGTGGAAGGCAAACATCGATAAAAACTGCATGAATAAAGCACTGATGGACGCTCTATGGACAGGGAAATAAACATTCAAGGTGTACACTGAACGACTATAGACTGGTACAGGTGGCGAAAACAGACGATCACTGTTTTCCAGTCTTTCATTCCCGTGGCTGCCTCCTAATCTCGTCAATTTGTCGTTGAAAAGCATCGCGGAAGCGTTTTGCATGGTAAATAGGGGATGACGAGTAGAAGAAACGAATCGCGAGTGATATGTATCTCGTGATCATAGTTATTGGCAAATACCTTATAGAAGAGAATTTTTAAATAAATTTAGCTTTTTTTTTTACCTTGACCCTGCTGTTTTTCTTATTCATTCTTCAGGTTCGTATCACTTTGAATGAAATTAATGTCAAAATTTGAAATGATTTGTTCTTAAGACATGGAAGATACATAAAAAGGAGGTGTGAAATTTAGACACGTCGGATACTGAAAACGTATTTTTAAAAATATGAATCGAATCATTTTAACGGAGCACGAATGGATCATTAATCGTCACAAGAGTTTCACATAAGATCCTACGTTGTGTATTCGGGTTTCAAGTATCGATCCCGTACACACGCGAAACGTATTCAGAAACGATCGAGGCCTCTTATCGGGCGGGATAGCATTTCGCGTGAATCACCTGCGGACGTTTAACGACATGCAGCGGCTAATTTGTCATACGGTCGGGGAGCCACGGTGACACGCCGCTGAAGTAATAACACGCGTTGTTGCAGTTAACGCGGCCGTCAAGGCTGTACTTTAAACGAGAAACGCAATCAATCTCCTTAGAATCGGGGATCCCCCGTCCGATCAACGGCCGCGTTCTAACATTCTAATTCATCCGAAACGTTCTCGTAAAGCATCGTTAAAGCCACTGTAAATCATCCATCCGGGTACGAATATTCAAGAACCGGTAAAAATTCTTTCGGCGTTACGATAACAATCTCTCGGGATCTATTTAAAAGCGTCGACATCGGCTATCTCTAAACGCCGTGTTCCCAAAGATGTTATCAATCGTGGCGCCAATAAATGGCGAAAGAAATACGATCAACAGGACGTTACACGATTAAATAGAACTTATGACTACATAGATAGTCTTAATCATCGAGGATTATGGAGTTATAACTTAAGCAGCGATTTAACGGATTGGCGAACTTTGCCAGATAGCCACGATATTCGACTTTGTTGTTACATTCCCGTAATGATCGAACGATACTAGGTATCCCAACGTTTATTAGCACAACGAAGAATCCGATCGAACGACACGAAACGTTCGGATCTCTATTCCCGCCGATATGTACACACAAACATTCTCGGTTCTGGGAATTATTGCTCGCGCGTGAATCACCGTACTATTATCGGAATCAGATGTAAAGGTCACTGACTGCACTCTTTCTAGAATTCTCTAGATCTCTCATTCCGACACCTACGTGAGCCCCGTTTCTAGAAACGATACGTCCTGATACGGCGGGTACGATCGTCATTCCGCGGGCCGAGCCCGCTCCAAAATCCCGTGGATCAATCCGTTCGACGATACAGCGACGGGGCTCTCGATGATGAAATATCGTGTCACCCCTCGGATGATTCATCAACGGGCTCCTTCAAGGTCGACTATCTTTATCGCAGGTTGACACACGATATTATCTACAACCACGTTACGAAAAACACCCTCTCGACTAATGACGAATCCTCGAGAGAACTCGTTATCGTCGGTCCAAATACGTAGATTCAAACCGTAAAACTGTATACCCTGGCTTTTGCACAAATTTCTCGTGTATATCGCAAGATTACACCAAGTATCCCGTTCCAGGCACGTTATCTTAGTATTACAAGGGGACAAGCACAATTCCAAAAGAGTAGCACAAAGAAAAAGGTAATATGGACGTTTCGTTTACCTGTGTCATAAGGCGATCCGCTCCGGTACCTTCCTCATCCTTGAAGATGATGTCTGTGTTGTAGTTGGGCACGAGATCACGGAACCGCGAGTCGTGCCTGGACACGCGGCCCTCGCTGAGCCCGCTAGCCGGCAGCGTGTTCTCGCTGACGTTCGGCACATGCTGCTTGAACACCAGGGGCGTGAGTTTCCGCAAGATCGGTCGTCGTCCGCCGCCCCTGCCAGGCCCGCAAGCGAGAACCAGGCCGCCGTTGTCCAGGACCGGTAACCAGAGACCGAGTATCAGCAGCAGAACCTGAAGTAGCGAGGGTGTCGTGCCGCGCCTCCTTAGGACGCAATGATGGCTCGCCGGAAGGCCGCGACGACGATGATGGTGCACCATAATCACGTGGCTATGCCTCGACGGACGACCCTGGGGTACCACCACCGCCGCCACCACCACCGCCGCCGGCGATCCTTCTCCTCCTCCTCCGCGGTTGACAGAGGAACGACGATGACCTAGACGACGACAACAACGACGACGACGACGACTTGATGATCGACGAGCTGCCACTGCCAGTCCTTCTTCTCCTCCTCTTGCCACTGACCTCACTCACGCTTAACCATAACCAGGGCATCACACACCCCCCCTGCACGCACTCTTATCACCGTTTTGGGACCGTCGTAGCTGCGCCGTGAGATCGCCACCGCGAACGGGAGCTAACAATATAAATCCCGGGTAAGATGTTTAAGATGATCAGAACTGGCGATCGACCCGGGCACACCGATTGCCACACTTCAAGGAACCTCCGTAACGGAGAGTTCCTCTTTTTTTCCCCCCACCCGGTTCCGATCGAGAGTCGTTGGAAACAGGGATCCAAGAGCTTTATCGTGCAGCCGCTGGTTCTCCTCGTAATTCCACGGCACCGAAACCGGATCGCGACCACAAAAATCGATGGATATTTCCTACATTATTAACGGACCGAGGGTAATCATCACCGTTGCAAATTGTCACCCGTCGATTAGAGATCTCGCGCGTTCTCCAATTGAAAATTGAAATTCTCGAGACAGCGAGAAAGAGACAGAGCGTGCGCGCACGCGCAAAACACAAGTCACAAACTTGTCTCGTAAGAACGGGTACACGGTTTGGTGCTGTTTTGATGAGAGGATAGGTGTCACCGATCGACCGGACTCACTTGACTGAACTCGATATTGCGAGCACGGTCCGGAAGCTCTCTGGCGCACGTTTTCCGGACGAGTCAGTGGTGGGAAATGCGTGGATGGGGCTTTCGGTGGGTACCCCGGCGTTGTTCCTTTGGCCTGCCTCGGGTCCAGGGTGCCCCTCTTCCTGCCCCCACTCAACGGTGGCCAACGGCCACAGCCTGGCGCTGGTTGCAGCTAGCTTAGCTGGCCCCCGTGGGGCTCTCACGGCCTCCCGATGGTGGTGGTGGTGGATGATCCTACTCCTACCACAGAGGCCCTCCTTGGTGTACACGTCACTGACGTCACCGGGCCCGCTGTGACTCCATTGGTCGGGGCGGGGCGTGCACTAGGTGAACGAGGACAGGTGCACCGCGCCGGACAGAGAGGGAATGAGAGGAAGAAAGAAAGAGATAGAGAGAGACAGAACGAACCTGGACGAACGGGGCAAAGTGAGAGAGGAAGAGAATCTTTTAGCTTTCTCTTCGTTCGATTCGGTTTGATCAACCTCCGCTGTCTCACTCTCCTTCTCGCTCCCCTATACGAATATTCCCGTCTCTTCGGCTTCTTTACCCGTCCCCCCTGGTCCTCTTCCTTTTACGATGTCCACCGATCCTCTTCCCCCACCTCCGACTCGATTGATCCTTCCTCTTCGTCGTTTTCGTTGTCGTCGTTACAACGTTTTACCTTGTTGCTATCTGTCCTTTTCCACCCGCTGAAGAGATTTCCTCGTTCCACCCCTCTCCCCTCGTGGATCCTTACGCCAAGTACTCGACGCGATTGCGAGAAGATTCTCAATGACTGTCTACCCCCAAGCGGAGCGCGCACGTACCCTAGGCATACCGGGTAGAGGCGTGGGGTGGGCTGACCTTGACTTCGGCAGCCGTCAAGTTTCGCTCATCTTTACGATTTTGCTTTTTCTCTGCTCTTCCTCCCCCCCCCCATTCCTTCCCTACCTACTCCCCTTCGCCGATTACCGGGGCTTTTATCGCATTCCTGAACTGTGTCGGGAGTCACGGGGATTTTATTAAATACAATATCCGTCGAGTTTTCTGCGCTCCTCTTCGTCGAACCAATGCGCGTTGCGTTCCCATCGGTTCCCATACACCGTGGTCATCGTTCAGACTTTAAAGGGCAATCGACAGTTCCGGTACACGAGGATTTTAATCGTTCCGCGAAAGACGTCTTATTAAATCGATCGCGTTTTCTCGATGCCCCGCAGCAAGAGAGAGAGAGAGAAAAAAAGTGTAGTACCACCACTGTGTCGGAATATATACATACACAACCGATTCGATCGACGCACGGCGTCTCCCAATTGCGAGAAGTTTAAGTGATCGTTATTTATCGCGTGGCGCTTGTACGCTTATCGACCCACGTCCTAAGATTACCGCGTACGCTCGATCGTTCGCCGATAAACATACGCGCGAAGGTGATCGATGATTTTGTGAATTTTTTTGATTTTGTGCAATGGAACAAACTCGCACACGGAATGAAACGTCACCAGTCACAGCTACGAGCGAACTGATATGAAAGTCCAAGAAGTCTAACGAAGGACAAGGTGGGGAAGGAGGAACGATGAACGCGGCCTAACCGAAACCGTACGGTTTACTGATAATAAACATCTTTTCTCGAATGCCTCGGGCCGCCCCACTCTACCGCCACAGCTCGCACGGGCCAATCTATCATTGACACATCGATATTTACGGTATAAACAATTGTTGCCCTTGAAATTCCGCGAAAACTGTTTCTTTCCTTTTCGTGGAGATTACGATTTCGTTGATATTCTTGCTGCGATTTTAGATCGCTGTGAATTTTCGGTAGCATGTGTGGAAGCGTTGTTGTGTAATCGCTTTTGGAAGTATTGAATCATTTTTCTATCGAATACAATGAAATAGTTATAAATAAAGTATGTATATAATAAGTATGACTGTCATCATGAATCATCATAAATTTTGGGTTGGATTAATCATGCGTAGATATCGATAATAATTGTATGTTGTGTCATTTAAAAGTAAATTAAAAAAAATATTAAGAATCTAGAAATTAGGAAGACTATTGTGAATATACAAGTAGGTCACTATCAAATCAGATCTACTAGATATCACTATTTCATCTACACCAAATTGAGAATCATTCTTTGTCAATACTATCACACACAAAATTGCAGATATTCGTGAACCAACATATCGATACTTATATGTATCAGAATTGTATCGGGCATCCCCATTCGCTAGCGATATATTCGATTTTCGACGCGTGAAGGGAGCGACATAGGGCAAGCGAGCAGAAAAATCGGAGATTAGTCCAGGTGACCTGCGTAGATAAAAACGGTGTTCGCCAAACAAAACCCCCCGAGGTAAGAGTTCCCGGATCAAACGGAGAAGAAGGTGTGTCGGTTTCATGGCGACCCGACGTCCACCAAGCGAAACGCGACGAACCGTGGAGGATCAACGCGCGGTGGATAGCGCACGTTTCTTGTCAAGGCGTGTAAAGATTCGGCGCGGCGCGAAACCGCCGCAAAAACAATGGTCACGTTATGTTACCGCGCGTACATAGTACGCGCAAAACAAGGGTGGGGGACTAAGAGTTTACGGACCAATGGGAAGTATAAACGTCGCTTGTTAACGATGCCGATGCCAGAATCGCTGAAACAGGGCCGGTAGGGAGGGGCAATAAAAGATAACGAGTATTCGCGAGCTGTAAACATCCGCGGGAACGCTACTCCGGAACATTTCATAATCCAGTTACGAGGCACTTTGACTTTTGTGGCAGCTGCGGTGGTTGCGGAGCGGAAATAAAATTCCGCTATCGAGGTGCAAGTAATAGCGCGCGCGGCGTTGCCGTACCCGGGTGTGTACAACACCGTCGCCGATGTCCACGGTGAACGCTTAAAAAGCGAGAGATCTCTCGCTTATCGATTACCAACTATCCCCCCACCCCTTTGTCACTTCTCAGCACTGACGTATCCTGTTTAAAGATTACAATTATCAATTCTTTCTGTTCTACTTCCCCCGGATGGATATTCCATTGAGCGGTTCGCGAGCTGGAATGCGTTAATACCTGGAGTCCAGTGTTTCGCTCCGATTAACGATCTCACGTTCACGTAATCAGTGGAGACGATCGGAAAAAGAAACGAGACGGCGGCGCTAAGATCGTACGGTAGGATGATCCCCTTCTGGTTCGAATGTCGCTGAAAATCCCACCTCTATGGTGTCTACCACCGGTTGCAAGGCACCACTATTGCACCGTTTCGGAGTTGGCTCTTCTCCCGGGGTGTCCCTTTTTCTTTTTCTTCTTCAAAGTAACACGATCCACAGGCGAGGAAGAACTTCTCTTGCCGTCGGCTCGAGGAGGTAATGCCAGGGTGGGAGACAGAGGTCCGGACCGAGAACGAGAGAGGGAGAGAGAGGGGCCCCTTTCGCGTAATGGACGGCTCAAATATTTATCATCGGCCGCGTAATTTAAGGTGCGTTTAGCAAACGGAAGACGACGCGAGGGAAAACAAACAAGTCACCGGGGCGGCGGCGTAGGATCCACCGGTAAGGTGGAGAATGGGGGAGGGGGCGGAAAGGGGAAGGCCGAAGAGAAGTTAAAGGGTGAGGAAGAGGTGGAGGCGGAGGAGGATGATGGCAAGGGGGGAAGGAACGGTGGTAGGATAAGGTCGATGGGGGAGGAGGAGAGAAGGACAGGGGAGCCCGAGAGAGTAGAAACAGTGGAGGCCGTGAGAGAGAGAGACGGAGGGAGAACGACGAGAGAGGCAGAAGGAGTAGCTCAAAGGGGCCGCCGCGGGCCCCAGAGGGCTCTGTGAGAAGGCACAAACCCCAATAATAGCACCAGAATTTATATACCTGCACGAACTCGGTGGAACGGTCCCGGGGCTGCGGGTCCACGGACCCAGGGACGGCTTGTTGCGATACCCGAACGCCACCGGGGGTCATTCCTCGAGGATTCATTTTCGTCGTTTCCTCGCGATCCACCGAGAAGAAACTTATACGATCCTTCGAAAGTCTCGAATACCCATAATTACCGACGATCACTCGAGAAACTCCTAGTGTATACGAAATCACGCGTGACAACCGCTACGTGACCGCGTCCGATTTCAACACGACGATACTGAGCTTGAATGTGTACGACAGGCGGGTAAAACCTAGATTATTCGAGCGTCCATATCCCGGAACTCTATAAGAACAAGTCGGGATCTGA